GCCAATGCAATCAGGATACGATCGGGTTGATCCTCAGAAGTCTCTCGTGTTCTCCCGGACCTTACCATGACTCTGCACAAGTTACACAAATTATGAGTTGATCAGGCCCACGCAGTGTGATTACATATGCATTATCATAATAAAATTCGACCAGGTAAACACACAAGACAGACACAACCAAACATCCTAGCTATTGCAATACATACAAGCTTTTCCCTCGAACCATTGCTCTGATACGCAACACAAGACAGACCAATAATGGGCTTGTGTCATATCCACGCTTCAAGCTCAAAGGACTTTTACGTGAGGGGTGTGTTAGAGAGATATAAAATAATTAATTTAGCCTCACCTAATAATGTCTTAAGGTTTTGCGTTGAAGTGACGATTATCAAAATGATAGTTGTTTTTTTAATTAAATTTTAACAAGAATATTTTCCATTGAAGTGAAAATTAGGTCATGGGAATTTATTTTATGTTTTTGTGTGTGTGATTTTCGTCATTCAACTATGGGCTAAACCACAAGTTGAATGAAAAAGAAAAGATTATTATTAACTCAATACCTAGTATATAGCAATAGCCTTGGTGATTCAAGACGAATTTGTCAACCCATTGTCCCTAACACCCTCTTGGGTAGGGGTGTTAACGGGCCGAGCCGAGCCGAGCTTTGATCTTAACAGGCCAAACCTGTATTTAAACGTGTCCGACTGCCCTTAGCCTGTTACCTGTTACGAATATAATATTGGTCTGTGGCCTGGTTTATTTACAAAAAAAAAAAGTCTGTGTGAAGCCTGTCTTAGCCTGTTAGCATGTTAAAGAATAAAAATAAGAGAACAGAATTCCACAAAAAATCAATTTCCAGATAGAAACCTTAGCTTCCAATTTGCAGCAATAATTTACAAAGTCTACAATAAATAAAAAAAATTAAAGTGAGAGAAGGTAGATAACAGGTTATATTATATTAGCCCATTATAAAAAAAGTGCCAACAAAAATAAAAATAAAATAAATAAAATAAAAAATAAATTGACACAAACGAGCAGTGCACAGTGGAACGAATGAGTTTTTGTGGGTTTGTTTGTGTGAAGGAGGATGAAGGATAATATAGAACAACACTAGTAATTCCATAAATATACATAAATTCAGTATATATCCAAATAGCATAATATAGAACAAAATCATTCAAAAAGTCTGTTAAACCAATAAAATGAGGTGAAATAAATTGATGAGATAGAGTTATTACAAGTAGTATAAAAAGTATAAATAAATATTATATACTAGGCTAGCCTGGGAGGCTCTAAGGCCGAGCTTCTGAATTAGAGCCTGAGGCCTTTTTATTAAACGAGCTTTTATACAAGTCCAATTCTGGTTCCAACACGAGCTTTTATTAAACGAGCTCAGGCCTTTACGAGCCGAGCCAAAGACCCCTGAAAAGCTCCTGGCTCGTTTACCACCCCTAGGTCACCTCGTTCTAATGAGTATATTCAATATTTAGCATCCCTCAACAAATGTATTATGAAAATTGCCAGTTTTGCAACCACTCCAGAGTCTAGAGGAAGGGAAAATATGAATTCCCCATGCATCATCAGGCACGTGTTTCTCCTGACAGCTTAGAGGGTGTACGTAAATATTTGTAAGAATATCTTTTCTTTTATTTGTAATTTGGTAAATAGAAATGATTTATAATTGTGTTTAATAAAATTTATTTTTTCTATTACAAATAATGAATAGATAATTTGAAAATAAAATTTGATAAAAAAGAGAGGTTATACTTACTACTTTTTTTCTTACTACTTTTTACTACCAAATTTTAATAGTTGATTTCTGTCAATCTAACTATTATAATTTATTGGTAATTCGTAATTAATTAAAGAGTGTGACTCAATAAATTATAACTATTAAGATTTAATAGTAAAAGATAATAAAAAAAAGATAGTAAGTATAACCTTATCAAAAATAATAACAACATTTTTCAGCTTATTCATTTTCAGGCACATAAATAAAAAAAAAAAACATATTTCTCTTCCGAATTAAAGAGTACATAACGATTGTCATAAAGACATAAACATCTTTTACATATGACAAAAAGTTTTGACCAATGATAAAAAAATCCAACAAGATTAAAAGTGTTATTAAATTGATCATATCTTATTTAATAATTAAAAAAGATTTTAAATTCCAACCAATGATTTTCTTTTCTTTTGTTGACACGATTATAATGATTTTATTGTGATAGGAGATAATTGCGATGATAAAATAAAATGCTACAAAAACAATTTCATCCCCAATCGCACTATTAATTGTAACTGCGCAATTTGAAATCTGACAAAAGAAGTCTTAATTTTTTTTTTCCAACAAGTTTAATTCAAGAAACAATTAAGAATACGTCGCTATTATGGAGCGAGATTTGCAAAGTTATTTTTTAGGATTTGATGTTTGTAATTTTAAATGACATAAAGCTATGTCATTTTAAGTGAGAGAAAGACACAAATAATAAAAATAACAGGGGAGAAAGTGGTATTTTTTTAATTTAAATTAAAAAAATAATTTGTGTCTTTATCTCTCTTAAAATGGCACAACTCCATGTCATTTAAAATAACAAATATTTTTCCTTTTTTATTTAATTAGCATTTGTTTTACCTTCCTAAAATTTTGAAGTAGATAGCCAACATGGATTAGTCAATACAAGGGATGGCAAAAATGAGCTGACTACTTGAGCCAGCTCAAAAAAACCAAGCCAAACTGCAGGTTAAACGGGTCAGCTCGCAAGTTATCTTTTTATTGAAGTATTGGACTTTTTTTGATGTATTTTGAGTTGTTGTTTTGGTCTTGTAACCTTTTATTTTAATTATACTCAACAACTAAATATATTATATCAAGTGCTTTCCTTTGCAGTAAAAATCTTATATCAAATGAAAATCATTTTCTTAACTTTCCCAGCACATGTACTGAATGAGTGTGCAAAGGCTTTTTTTTCGAGTCAACCCTAACCCGGCTCGAGTCGGATTGGGTTGAGTTTTTTGACTCGTTTTTTTGAGTCAATCCTAATCTGACTCATTTTTTTCGTGCTGCAAACAGGTTGGATCGGGTCGAATCAGGTTTGCCTATTTTGCCAACCTAGTCAAGACGAGTACCCAATACCCAAGAATAAATAATTTATTTTAATTACTTAATAACTTGTTTAAAGAAAAAAATTATCATTTTTAAAGTAAGCACATAAGTCCCAAAAAATACCTAGCAGGAACATTCCTACCTTCATTACATTAGTGATCATGATTAGGATATTAAGTTCTAGAGGAGGTGCATGAATAAATTGCAATTCCAAAGGTAAGCCTAATACATACATTGTTATTCTGCATGTCGGCAGAAGCATCATTACCCTTTTTATAAACAGGGTTTATTTGTACAATCTATTCTCTTGATAATAAGGAGAGAACATAAAGTCAAGACTTAAGATTCAGCTTTTGTACTATCAATCTTCAATTTGCGTATTAAAATCTGATTATCACACTTCAAAATTAATTTTATATTTGAAACTTTGAATTTTTCAAAATGTATATTTCAAGATCAATAAATAAAAAATACGCCAATATTATTGAGTGTGAAATGCAAAGTTATTTTTTAATTAGTATTCATTTTAAAGTACACTATATTCATGAAATCTTTAAAATATATCCATGAATGATGAATCTAGATTCCTAACGATGTCACTTAGCCCGGTACAAAAAGAAGAAAAATAGAAGAGACAAATATGATACAGAAGTTTAAACAAAAGGCACGCAGACAAAATAGAAACTACAGTGGATAATCAAAAGGAAAAGCAGCTCTTCTCTATACATAAGTAATAACAAAAGAAATAGTAAAACACTCAAGCAAAAACATTACAAAAAATCCAAAAATTGAACAGAAGAAGAAAAAAAGATGAAAAATAATTCACAAAGAAAAGGAACAAACCCTAGTTAATAATGGCCAAAACAACCACCATGAACCATGGAACTAACACCACAGTTTCATACACCATACCCATTGAAACCCTCATTCAAGAAAGACACATCTGATAACCTTTGCATCGGTGATGATGCAACTGGTAAAGGTGGAAGGGCAACTGGCAATGGTGGAAGTGAATTATCAACCTTCTTCTTTCCCTTACAGAAACAAGTTTCATCTTCAAATCTTCTATGCAATTCTTGGATTTCTCAACTTGTTCAAAACTAATATCCTCAATGGAGAGATCCTGTCATCCAGTGAATACCAAACCATTCTTTTTGGCCTCATTAATCTCTTCATTATGCATATTCTCTTCTTTCAACCTAGCTTTAGTTGCCTCAAATTTCAGCTTTAGGGTTTCCACACCTTCTTGGAAGCTTTTTTAGCAGCACAGTTATGATACCCTCCTCCGCCGTCGTGGTAGTAGTGGATGACAAAGTCTGAATCGGGGTAGCCGCAGGCATAGAGCTTTCATTTTTGAGAATTGATGACCAAAGCGGTTTCAGCTTGGCAAGAAGGGATAGCTCAGTGACTTTGTTGAAAAGCCCTTGTTTGCATTTCGAGAAGGTCACGTAGCGCTTGCTTTTTTCTTCCACTTTCTTGATCTCAACCTCCCCCTTTCGTATGTTTGACTTTCTTACAGAGGAATAATCCATTGATATCAAAAGATAGAGAAAAAGAAAAGAAAGAAAGGACAAAGAAGAGGAAAAGGAAAACTTTTGGAGAATCTTTGGACAGATAGTGTTTATCGTCTAATTAGGTGGTTCGAGAATTCAAACGACTTAAACCCAAACCTCTTTAAGCACAACATTATAAATTTGAGAAATCGCTTCAAACCCTATCACACAACTGAATTGGAAAGCTTTCATTTATGTATTTGAACTCTAAGATTTAGGGTTTGGGGAAAAATTCAAAAATTGAAGATAAGAAGAAAAAAATAAAAAAATTCAACAATAATTCACAAGAAAAGGAACAAGCCCTCATTAACAACTGCTACCTATAGCCATGTATGTCCTAATTAATAATGGTGAAAACCACCACCAGGAACCATGGAACTGACGCCACTGTTCCATACACCATACACTTTGAAACCCTCATTCAAGAAAGACACATCTGATAACCTTTGCATCGGTGATGATGCAACTGGTAATGGTAAATGTGCAACTGGCAATGGTGGAAGTGAATTATTGACCTTCTTCTTCTTCTTTTCCCTTGCAGCAACAAGTTTCTTCTTCAAATCTTCTAAGCAATTCTTGAATTCCTCAACTTGTTCAAAACCCATATCCTCGATGGAGAGATCCCGCCATTCAGTGAATACCAAACCATTCTTTTTTCCCTCAGTGATCTTTTCATGATGCATATTCTCTTCTTTCAACTTTTCTTCAGTTGCATCAAATTTCAGCCTTAGGGTTTCAACACCCTGTTGGAACCTCGTTTTAGCAGCACGGTTGTGATACCCTCCTCCGTCGCCGCCTTGGTAGCGGTGCATGACAGAGTCTGGATCGGGGTAGCCGCAGGCATAAAGCTTTCCTTTCTGAGAATTGATAACCAAAGCGGTTTCAGCTTGGCAAAGAAGGGATAACTCAGTGACTTTTATGAAAAGCCCTTGTTTGTGTTTCGAGAAGGTCACGTAGCGCTTTCTTTTTTCTTCCACTTTCTTGATCTCAACCTTACCCTTTCGTATGTTTGGCTTTCTTACATAGGAAGAATCGATTGATATCAAAAGATAGAGAAAAAGAAAAGAAAGAGAAGTCAAAGAAAAGGAAAAGGAAAACTTTTGGAGGATTTCCGGACAGACAATGTTTATCGTCTAATTTGGTGGTTCGAGAATTCAAACGGCTTAAACCCAAACCTCTTTAAGTACAACATTATAAATCTGAGACATCGCTTCAAACCCTCTAACACAACTGAATTGAAAAGCTTCAAATTATGTATTTGAACTTTAAGATTTAGGGTTTGGGGAAGATTTCAAAACTTGAAGAGAAGAAGAAGAAAAATTGAACAATAATTCACAAGAAAAGGAACAAGCCCTAATTAATAACTGCTAAAAAATTTAGGATTGGGAAAAGGTTGAAAAGGTATGCCATCTTTTAGAAGTTTTCAGTCATGCTACTAATGTTATGTCAGGTACTCATTATCCTACAGCAAATTTATATCTTCCTAAAGTGTTTAGGGTGAAACAAGTGATTGATGTTGCAGCTGAAGACAATTATGATTTTATGAGAGAAATGACAAGGTTTATGAAAGATAAATTTGATAAATATTGGGGGGAATGCAATATGTTGATGGCCATTGCTAGTGTTTTAGACCCACGATGTAAATTCCATGTGGTGAAAATTTGCTTTCCACTTATATACAAATCAGCATATGAGGCACAAATTAACATGGATAAGGTGAGTGAAGCTTTAGAAACTCTGTATAATGAATATTCAGCTTTAAGTTTGCAAGAATCATCCTCTGATAGTCAAGTGGGATCTAGCATGAATGTATCCTCTTCTACTTCCTCTACTCAAGTTCCACGTGGCTCTACCTCTGGTTTGACCAAATCATGAGCATGGTGCGTGAACATGAATCTATTCCTACAGCAAAGTCAGAGTTGAAGTCATATCTTGAAGAAGGTGTTTATGAATATCATGAAAAAACTCATCTTTCATTTGATGCCTTAGAATGGTGGAGGAGTAATAGCTTAAAGTATAAAATTTTATCACAAATGGCAAGAGACATACTTGGTGTACCAATCTCTACAGTAGCATCAGAATCAACATTTAGTGCTGGAGGAAGAGTTATTGATGCTTATCGTTCTAGCTTGGCTGAAGATACCATCCAAGCTTTAATATGTGATGGAGATTGGCTACGTAATAAGTACGACTTGAAGAAAAAACAAAAGGTATAAATTTAATTAATTTAAATTATTTTATAATTTAATTATATTTGATTAAATTTTAATTGAAATTTGACTTTATTTTTATGTAGGATGAACCAACATCTCAGCACGTGAGATTGCCTATGTGAATCTATTAAAAGGTTTTTTTTGTTTCTATTCATTATTCTTGTTTTTTTTCTATATTTACAAATTATTTGCCAACTTATGTAACCTTGGAATTGTATTTGCAGGGGAGAGAAGATGAAGATAAGTTTTTGGCTACTCTTGAAGTCATTATGATGTGTTTGTTGTATTCATGTAGTTATTTTAATTTACATAGTATGGATTGACTTGCTAGATCTGATGAAATATATGTTATTTAGTAAGAGCATTTTGCTTTTGACAGTGACTTAAATGCAGATTGTGATGAGTTATTGTTGTGATTCATGGTTTTTTTTTTTTTTGATAACAGTGATTCATGGTTTTGTTTGGACGTTAAAATTGTCATTTTTATTTTAACAATAGAATTTGAGTATTTTGTGGAGTTGATTCATGGTCTACTTGGAAATTAAAAATTAACAGGCCAACGGGCCGAGCCGGGCCATTTGTTTTTTATAAATGGGCCAAGACAGGCTAACAGTTAGACTCATACTATGCTATCGGGCCGTGCCAAATTAAAATTTTTTGACATAGGCTTGGGCTAAACGGGGCAAAGCTCGGCCAGCCCAGCCCACTTTCACCCCTACCTCCCACATCCCGTGCATCTGGGAGTAGAAGGTCTCACTGTACTCCCTTGAGTGGAAGTCCTCTTGAACTGATTTGGCGCTTGCCTAGCCGCCAACTGCTTCCCTTTGTCCTTGCCAGCGAACTTCCTGTCCCTCCAGGAAGTGGAACTACCAGTTCCCTTGGTCTCAGCAATCTTGGCTCTCGTGGCCTTACTCGTAAAGCAGACATCCTTGATGTCCCGACACTGCTGCACCAGTGTCCCAAAATCTCTAGAAGCTGCTCCAACTAGAGGAACAACTATCTCCTCGCTAAGCCCCCTACGGAACTTAGCAGCCAAAAAGGTCAGAGTAGGCATAGCCATCCAACAGTGTGCAAATTTGACCAGCTCATTAAACTTGGCCAGGTTCTCGTCAACAGACAACAAGCCCTGAATCAACCTGTCGAACTCCCCCTGCTTCCTCTTTTGCGCATCATAAGGGAAATACCGACCCTGAAAGCAATCCTCGAAGAATGGCCATGTCATAACATGACCCTGCATCTCAAAAGCGTGAGAGGTGTTCATCCACCACTCATGGGCATCACCCTCCAGCATGTACGTGGCGAACATCAGCTTCTGCGGATCAGTACATGATAAACCTTTAGTTTATCTTGTTTTATGGACTAAAATAATGTAAATTATCTAATTGAACAAGTCAAAAACTAGGGTTTTAATAAGATAATCATGAATTTTATGAATTATTAATTAAATGAATTATCTTTGCTAATTTTAAAGGATTTGATGACAAAGAGATTCAAATATGAAGATTTGGATAAAGAGAGATCAAATTAGAAAAGAAGATGAATCAAGGTGAAAACAAGAAGATTGAAGATCTTATCAAGTTGTTAGCAGAGGGAGCTTAAGCCCCCATTTCGAAGCTTAAGCTCCCTAAAAACACAAATAGCTACTGCCTCTGGGCGCTTAAGCCCCCAACTCAGGGCTTAAGCGCGCCACAAGAAGAAAGTTTTGTCGCGAGGAGCGCGATTAAGCGTGCAACACGAGTCAGAAATCACCGTCCTAGCAAGCTTAAGCGCGCTGAAGCAAGCTTAAGCGCCCCAGACAGGTCCAACTTAGGCCCATTCGAGTTTTCTACTGCAATACGAACTCTTGACCTATTTAAACACCATTGGGGACCAGAAATACAAAACTTTTACATTGCAAAACAATTCTTGGTGCTTGGAGGCGGAGGGAACGCGGAAGATTCATCGGTTCATGTTCATGAGCGGCGGAGACGGATCAACGTCAAGTGTTCACTGGAGATATTGAAGATCCACCAATCACCTATGGAGTTTGGGGGAGCTTTTATATTGTCTTTTGTTCTTGATTTTGCTATATCTGGCTAGTTGTTTAAGTAGTTAGGGTTAGATGGATTTTAGTCGAATTATTATGCTTTGAATAATTTGTCTGTTAATTTTCCTTTATATCATGAATGAGGTTATCTGTTTTTAATGCTTTATATAGGCTTGAATCTTATATAATGATCACCGGTAAATGCATGACAATAGGGATGTTGGTGTGTGATCCATATCTGATAACTTCATCGTAAACGTTATGATTCTAGGGATAGACATAGGGTTTGCGTAATCTTTAAGATTCTTGAACTTAATGCTTCTGTTCTTGGGGAATAACCGGGGAACTAGGGTTCTTCCAAGATCGTGAAGGTTTATGGTAACAAGGGATTGAGCCCTAATCACATGCGAAAGAATTGATTAGATTGATACTAAGGACGATTAACATTAAGAATGAATTCAAACATAATAAAGAGATTAAAGGAAATTGAACCCCTAGCTACGTTTTTATTTTACCAACTTATTCAAATCTTTAATTTCTTGTCTTTAATTCTTGCGAGTAATTAGCTTTAATATTTAATATTTTAATTTTGCAATTCAAATCCTGTTTCCAAATACAACTTTGATTGTCTAACTTAAGTTGCGATAGTGAATTGGTGCTTGAACTGTAATCCTCGTGGGAACGATCTCTTACTTAATCATTATATTACTTGTACGATCGGTGCACTTGCCATGAGTAGCAACATTACACTGCTTGACCCGGAAGATCTTGTCCAACGCCTGTAGCCATCTCGCCGCAGTAATAGGATCATAAGACCCATCAAAGGTAGGTGGCTTATGCTTGCGAAAAGCATTAAGCCGGCGATCAATTACATCACGGTCTTCAGCAGGCTCTACATAGGGTTCCATCACCCCAGTGAGTTGACCAGTGCCCTCAACATGGCTCTGGCTCGTCCTGCAGACTAGGTGGAGGTGGAGGTGGTGGCGGAGGGAACTGACCAACAGCAGGACCAGCCCTCATCTCCTCCAACATGACCCTCATCATAGTCATATTCGCCAGGCGGTTTGACTGCAATACATCCTCAGTGGCCTTCCTGTTCGTCTCTTTGACGGCGTCCAGCATAGCCTGGTTTGCCCTTCTCATGGCCTCCTGGTCGGCTTGTCGAGCCGCCTGCATCTCAGCCAACGCAGCCAGGACAGGATCAGGTTGATCCCCGCTAGTGTCTCGGTTCCTCCGAGGTAGTACCATGCCTCTGCACAAGTTACACAAAGAATGAGTTGATCAGGCCCACGCAGTGTGGTCACACATGCATTATCATAGCAAAACCCAATAGAGAGAACACACAGACACGACCCACAACAAAACATCTTAAGTTATTGCAATACATACATGCTTTTCCCTAGAAAGTGCTCCGATACCATAAAATGTAACACCTCGTGTTAACCCGGTTTGTTAACATGTCATCGTATTAAGCCATGCTTAATTAAAAATTTGCGAAATATCTTTTTCTGTTCAATTATGACGTCATTATCATTACCAAGTTGAATTACTTAATTCATTTCTAAAACATTGCCTGTATGTAAATTGCAAATAGACAGCTAACTGAAATACCTCATAAATAAATAAATGAGTATCTAAGTCACGGATCTACAACACGCAGTCCGGACATAATCCTGATACAATTATACAACTTGAAGCAACTAAAAACATAAAGTCATGTCAATGTGGCATGGATAACCCCCATGCTCACCAAATAAGGAAACAACGCCCAACAGCAGTCTCAAGTCAAATAACATGGCAGTAAAGATAAAGCAATGTCAGCATCCAGCAAAATCATCATAATAACATGCAATCAGCTAAGCTCCGGCCTCCTGCCGCTAGAGGTCTCAACTCTCGCATTACCTGAACCTGAAATATGTGCCCCAAACGTGGGGTGAGATCTCTAAACAGAAATCTCAGTAAGACAAGGGGTCCTCAAGGATCTTCCACCCCAAGCTCACTTACATGTGCAATATAAGTTCTAAAATCAGTATTTCAATATCAGTTCCAAAACAGTGCAATGCAGCAAATAATCATGTCATGTGTGTTATAACTATTCTACTGATCAGAGAAGTGAAGGAATACGTCTATTACCCACACAGTACACGTCCATGCTGTACCCGCCCCCAGGACCACCCTATGGCTTCCTGGCTAGGCGAAACACCACATACATATCATAAGCATTTTGCACTTAACAGCTCCATAGCATTTCAATAAAACCGTACATAAAAACACATCATGCATATAAACCATCCCCCCATGGGACATGGTGGAACATACAATGGCTAAACCGAGGACACGAAAGCTTACCTTGCAAGCTAACTATCTAATGCCAAGAGTCCACACTAGCTCAAAGTCCACACACAACACAATCACAATTTGTTTGGACCAACAATAATATCAATATTCATACTCAACAAGCATACGATATAAAGAAAACGCCTTTCATTTGCGTTTCAAGTCTTAAGGCTTCTCAAAAAGCCACAAGCCCTTAATCCCTTGATTCTGACTTAACTTAACCATTACAGAAGTTCAACTTCCACAATCTTGGGTCCACAAACCCATAACTCAGTTCTGTAAGAACAGTACCGTTACTGTAACGCAAACCCAGAATATCCGGATATTTGTCGGGGACATATCCGGATATCATATCTGGATATTTCGCGACAGAATGCAGTTCTGCATTTCGCGAGGTATTCTTCCCAAAGGTGGTTCTTTTCACGATTTCAGAAGCTTAAACACACATTTCTAGGTGTGTTGAACCTTACCCAACCTTAAGTTATTATCTTTTGCTCATTACATGCATCAAGACTCCATTTTTAACCATTAAAACTCATGATCAAGGTAGGTGACACTTACCTAAGCTTAAAACAGAGCAACAATGGCTCTTGGAGCTCACCAAACAGCTCCCACAGTTCTGACTTCGTAGGGAAACAAAAATGACTACAAAACAAGGTCCTTTCCCAACAAAGGTGGCTCCTTGAAGCTCAACAAGCAAGGAACAAAGGCTCTCATAGCCCAACCCAACAAGTCAGCACCCGAAACACAAGAAAATAGCACCTTAAACTCATAAAAGGGAGCACCTTACACTCTCTTAAGCCAATGCACATTCACACAATGAGTTTTAGAGAAAGAACCAAGAAGAAATGAGGACTCTTGGCTCCAAAGGTGAAAGGAGGATAAAGGTGGCTGTTCAAACTTCAGAAAATCTCACGTAGAGAAACTAAGCATGCCTAGGGTTATGTGCCAAAAGTTGTATATATAGTGTTTTAAGAATTAAACACACAATATTAACACTAATTTCTACGCTTAGCACTTTAATCCCAAACTTAGAATTCTGGACCTACTCATTTTTCTAAGATTTATCATATTTTTATTTTATTTTTCGCGGCACCTTTTCGGTACGCGCTTTTTCATAGCTAGTGTCAGTTCTGGCATCAGTTCTCATTATTTTAACTTGAAACTCGTTTTACAAGTCCTATATATTATTCTAGTGACATATACACACTTTTCATAATTTTTCGGGATACTTCATCGGTACGCATTTATACCGAGTAGCAGAACCGGTATCTGCACTTTTCGTCAGAAAAGCGTCTTTCAGCATTATAAAACACTTGCCATAATTATTTAAGCTTTATAATAATTATTAGGGTTAATTATGGAATTATTTCCTAATTTCTCATAATTAATTAATTAACTTCCTTAATTAACGGTGCGGGTTCTTACAGAAATACTCGTTTTTATCATCTCAGTACGGTTGTCAGAAGGAATTCGAATAAAATCTTCAAGCTTAAAAATGATGGAGAGACTTGGATTTCAGATCTTGAGGAACTCAAAAACATGGCTTGCAATTTCTTCAAAACTCTTTTCACTGAAGACTTATGTGACAGAAGGTGGATTTCTTCAGGAAACCTTTGGCCTAATCTTCTAGAGCGGGAAAAGGATTCTTTAAGCAAAGTCCCGTATGAAATGGAAATTAAAATAAATAACTTTCAGCATGGGAGCATTCAAGGCACCAGGTATTGATGGTTTTCCTGCGTTTTTCTTTCAAAAGAATTGGAAATTAATTAAATCTCAGGTATGTTCCTTAATTAATCAGATTTGGAATTATCATGAAATTTTAGCATCAATAAATTCTACTCTACTGGTATTAATTCCTAAAGTCTAGAATCTGGTGAATATCAAGCAATTTAGGCGAATTTCGTTATGTCCGGTGAATTATAAAATTATCAGCAAGCTTAGTGTGAGCCGTCTGAAACCAATTATGCAGAAAGTAATTTCTCCTGCTCAATCTAGTTTTGTGCCCCAGCGCCATATTCAAGATAATATCATTATTGTGCAAGAACTGGTTCATTCTATGAGGAGAATGCGGGGTAAGAAATATTTTATGGTGATTAAGGTTGATCTTGAGAAGGCTTATGATCGTTTAAATTAGAAGTTCATTTATAGAGTGCTTGATGAAATTCAAATTCCTGATAGACTTTCAAAACTGATCATGGCAGCTGTCACATCTCCAAAAAACAACATTATTTGGAATGGTAAGTTAACAGAGGAATTCCAACCAAGCAGAGACGTCAGACAAGGAGACCCGATCTCTCCTTACTTGTTTGTCTTGGCAATGGAGAAGCTTTCTCATATCATTGATACAGAAGTGAATGGGAATCTTTGGAAGCCAATAAGAGCTGATGTTTGAATATGTTTGGAGACATTTTTGGGCAAAAGGTGAATGTTAAAAAATCTTCTATTTATTTCTCAAAGAACACTCCAGATGAGTTAGCTACTAAAATCACAGAACAGAGTGGATTCAAAAGAGTAACAAATATAGGAAGATATCTTGGAGCAAGATACATCATGATAGAATTACTAAAAATTTATTTGCTGGTATAGTTGAGAGAGTTAAATAAAGATTATGTAGTTGGCATTCTCAGTCTCTCTCTCAAGTGGGCAGAGTGATTCTTTCTCAATTTGTGTTGTCTACTATGCCGTATTACTTTATGCAAAGTAATATGATTCCTAAAGCTGTCTGTAATGAATTGGTTGGGACACAATTACAAGACCAAAAGCAGATGAAGGGCTGGGGTTGAGGAAATTACAAGTCATGAATGAAGCTTTCTTGGGAAAACTAGTTTGAAATTTTGTTAATGATCCTTCCTGATAAGCTTTGGGTGAAGGTATTAAAAGCTAAGTACACAAATTCATCCAATACTCAGACTGATTTAACTTGGAAGAATGGAAATTCTCGTCTTTGGAAATTTATGTGAGATTTTTGGAATAAGCTTAAACCCAAGCTAGTTTGGGATGTGGATGATGGATCTTCTGTTCTTTTTTGGGAGCACCATTGGGTGAACATTGGGGGAAAACTTGCAAACAGAGCTATTACTCAAATTTCTCCAACAGAGACTGGTAAGAGAGTAATTGATTATGTTACTCATGATGGAACTTGGGATTGTGAGATCATATCTAATTTTCTTCCTGATGATTGTGTTCAAATTATTAGAAGCATGCTGCCTCCTCATGAATCTAATGGTATGGAAAGAAAATGATGGAATTTAGTTGGATCAGATGAAGTTTCTGCGAAAAATATTTATTTTACATTGCTAAATCAAATTAGTTCTAATGGTAATGACAGAAAATTATGGTCAGCCATTTGGAATTTAAAAGGGTCCAATCGGATAAGTTTGTTCCTTTGGAAGACTGCTCATCATCGTCTATCAACTAGGAGCTTCCTGGCAAACTTTAGATTGTGTCCTCCTAGCTGTCCTATTTAAAATTTTCATGAGGAATCCATTATTCATATGGCACGTGACTGTCCAAAGATTAAACAAGTTTGGACTGATCTTTTGAGGCCAAATTTGATAAATGATTTCTTTGATACTGATTTAGATTCTTGGCTTTCCTTGAATATTCAAAATGTATCTATTTTGTGCTTTGATGCCCCCCGGTCGTTGGTTTTTGCTGTTATTGTTTGGTTATCTTGGCAGTGGAGAAACAATCAGGTGCTTGGTGTGGAAAATAATGGGAAAGCATACAAGGTGCGGTCTCTAGAGAGTCTGATTTGTGAGTATACACAAGCCTGTATAACTTCTAAGGGGACAAAGCTGACCAAAAATTACATTTTTGTTCCTATTAGATGGTTACCTCCGGACACAGGTTGGGAGAAATTAAACACGGATGGTGCAGCCAAGAGTGATGGTAGAGGTGCTGCTTGTGGAGGAATTAGAAGAGATGAAAATGGTTATTGGATAGAAGGGTTTGCTTACTATATTGGCCATTGTTCAGCTTTTGTTGCAGAATTATGGGGCGTCCTCAAGGGTCTTGAATTTGCTTGGGCTAGAGGTTGGAGAAGCTGCATCCTAGAAAGTGATTCAAGCTCAATTATCACTTTGCTCTCCCGTAGTGGAAGAGCAGCTCGAGAGTCTCGCTTAGTGGCTCGGATTCGAGATGGTTACAAAAGAATTGGGAAGTTCACCTGGTTCATGTCTTTAGAGAAGAAAATAGTTGTGCAGATTGACTTTCTAAATATCTTTTAGGCTATCCTGTTAAGAATAATTTTTGTGTTTTTTCAAACCCTCCTCCTGGTATTTGGCCTTTGTATTGAGCTGATTTGTCTTTGTCTTGTAATTTCAGAATGATTTTATTGAATTGATCTCTTTGGGGTGTTGTTGTTAACTCCCTTAGATTACCAAAAAAACAAAAAAAACAACAAGACATTGATCCTCAAACATTAAAAATTTTCAACACAATAATAATCGAAAATATAGAAATAAAATTTACCAAAGAGGGACTTCTCAAACGATTTTAATTTGGATAACAATGTCTTTTGCTCTTTTTTCAATTTTTCCCTCTAATGCATATCAAATTCTCTCAGAAATATGAACTGAAAATTTTCACTTCAAAAAATTACAACTTCTTTCAAAATACTACCAAACTTACAGAAAGACAAAGACTAAAATTATTATATTAAAAAAAAAAAATTATCGCTTACGCAGGAACAAGAGTCAAGAGCCAAATCCAAAATTTATTCCAACTTACCATAATTACAAAATTAATATACACAGATTTAACCGGTGATATGGTTATCTTGTCCAAAAGACAATTGGGTGCTTTGAGATATATTGTAGTAATTAAGTTTTTCATCTATTTTAAAAAAATTATCAGTAAATTTGAACTATATAGTATATATAAATTAAGGGATGATATTTTGACTACTAAAAGTTTTCACTACCACCTTACTACCTATCTAATCACCATTGGATTAATATTTTCTCTCTCTTGAAATTTTTTTTAACATTCTCTCTTTTTGATCCAATGGTGATTTGATAGGTAGTAAGGTGGTAGTGGACACTTTTGGTAATCAAAATATCCCCCTCCATATAAATTAGTCATACCATGCACATAAGTTTGATATCAACACCACCAGTCTCGCAAGCACCGACACGCGATTTTGTGAAATTTTGCGTGTCGGACACGTGTCTGACACGGACACATTCCGACACGCTGGGACACGCGTCCGACACGCGGCCAATTTTTTTGAACACGCAGTCAACGCTCGGACACGTTCGGACACTTTTTTTTTTTAATCTTAATTTTATTTTATTAACTCAATATAAAAAAATTAATTTATAAATTAATTTTTTTCTATTATGAAATTTGACATGAAAAATTAACAAAGTACGAAAAATTATTTTTATTTGTACTTATGTTATAAAATTTAAATATTTGATTGGTTATATGACTTATTATGGACTCTTATATGTATTAAATATAAATTATATTATATATATTAAAAAATTTATTTAATATCAAAACGTGTCCCAACGTGTCCAAATATAACATTTTTTAGAATTAATGTGTCAGCGTATCGTATCGTGTCGTGTCCCGTGTCCCGTGTCCGTGTCCATGCATCATAGTGACTACTACATTCCCTCCGATCAAAGTTTCTTAAAATTAATGTTAGTGTGAATATTAAATTAGCATAATCTGTATATAAAAGGGTTCTTTTTAAAGGGGCATTCAAGCTTGGTTAACTATCTTTTTCTTTAATTAAAAAACAATTAACCTTCAAAATATAATAGTTTCAAGGAACGTATTTTTCAATCCTGCATCATGCATTATTATTAAAATAGTAGAACTTATTTTCATTTTTCTATGTCAACTTTAAATTATTAAAAATACATGGAGTGCATTTAAAATTTTGGCTGCGGAACACAGAAAGATAAGGTAAGGTAAAAGAAGAAAGAAGGAAACTGGGTTTTTTGGACTATGTACGTTTGTTTGTTTTTAGAGTTGAATATAAGTCAATGAGAGTAAAATATATCATGGGAAATATTTCTTGGCCAAGTGATGCCAAAATGGTGAATCTTAATCTACTAAATTTTTTTTGATGAATCTTATATGAAAATCTGACGGTCCTTAAAGCATTTGAATGGTCAGTAATGACAGCTGAAGGCAAACCCCAAAACATACGGGGTCATCCCACTTTTCTATGTTACAGACTACGTAATTATTGAAAGTCACGATATTATACACAACATAACAAATGGGGAGTTTCTAAGTGCACGCCAAAATACTTATTATCTGTTGGGTTTTCGTTAATTGAAAGTTTCTTCCCTTTATGGTGGGTAGCTAGGGAGGTACAAAACAACTAAAAAATTGAATCGAACTAAACTGCATTAAAAATAATCAGTTTTTAAAAATCAATTCAAGAACTGAACCGCTATTTAAAGAATCAGTTCATGAACCAACTTGATTTTTAAAACTAGTTCTAGAACCGAATCATTTTCAAACCAAACCAAATCATTTTTGAATCGAAACGAATTGATTTTTATTTATTTATTTCTTTAATTTTTTAATTTTTTTTCAGAATAAAGTCGACCTGTAACGCTCGGCCGCTTCAAGAATCAATGACTATCCCCACATACTAACACAAGATTTTTCAGTGTGCTTTTTCCTCACTCGCACACTTCCCGGGAAAACTTCCCAGGAGAACACCCATTCCAGAATTGCTCCAAATCAAGCACGCTTAACTGTGGAGTTCTTCCATTCTGCACTACCGAAAAGCATATGCATTTTGTTAGTATAGGTAGTACCACTTAATTCTTATAAGTTATCCCAAACTGTGCAGTCTCATACCTGCACAGGCTTTGGAATCCTTCTCTTTCGGGTGTCGATTCGATTTATTCATGTATGTAACCCCTCGCTGGAAGCCTGTCAGGAGCCGCTCTTTGTCCATGCCTTTTTGCACTGGCGATCACTCCTGGCCCTCGTCAGCGCTCGGGATGTTACACGACTCAAACCGAACACAACTATTTTTGAACCAAACCAAATCGGTTTTGAACCGAAACAAACCGAACAGGTTTTGAACTGAATCAAACCATTTTCGAACGGACCTTTTAAACTAATTATGTTACATTTTTTACAAAATTCAATTCAATTAGACCCATATATATCCCTAAGTAGTAGACGTAGCTCGCGAGTCTCATAATATGAATAAAATGTCGTCAATAGGAAACTCTCACGAAAACAAACAGTGCTTACTTGGTACTTGCAAATTCAGTATTGATAAACTTGCCTGAGGGGCAAGAAAAGAAGACAAAAACACTCCATTTTACTCCTTATAAATACTACTTCCCTTGAGTGGGGTTAAACACAAAAGAGAGAGACTAATAACCCAAAAATTACTTAGAAACTAGT